AACATGATACAGCAACACTATTTTTGGAATAGTCATCTCTTTTCACTTAGGTCTCTCAATATATTAGTGGCACATTTTCAAACGTAATAAATTACCCAAATAATGCAAGTTAAATTGCAATGTCACATCAACATTGCAGTTACATAAAACCATTGCAAAATAACAAAAATGGATCATATACATAATAAACAGAATTTCAAACTTGTTCCTATTGCACATGATCATGTATTGTTACATATAATATTCACGAAACTGAAGATTGTTTCATAAAACTTAGTATGTAATTTATTATGAGAATGAGTTACATATCTTCTAACGTCACAGTACCCAATGCGGATCCCTATTATTGTGACGTTATATCTGTAATCCAAACAATTCTTTTTTTTTTTTAGATTAAACTTGCACAATGACGCACATTTCAGTAGTTTGATAGTCATAGTAAGGGTTTATCTCAACAGTAGACCTTTTCGCTTACTAGGATGATTTGGCATCTCATTAGTTTCATCAATATTGACTTCTGACTTTGGTACAACTGGTTTCGGACATGTACTGTTCTTTGAGCATTCTGACTTACAGAATTCTCTAATGTTATCAAACAAATACCACTGCCGTGATGGGTCAAGTCCTACTGACACTTTTTCAACTGGCACATCATTCACAGAGGGCAGGATGTCTTCGCATTTCAGTAGATTAATGGATACAGTGGGCGAGTCACAAAGTTCCTTGCACAAAACTGTCCCTGGTTTAGTAGAATCTACTATGAAATGATGATAACTCCTAAGGTTCTTTAAAGGTTTAAAATATTGTTTTAAATACGTCTTCCAGTCTGTGAACTTAATGGGTTTGTCATCATCTTGCACCAACTGGGGGATGTTATGTCCATTTCATGACGATTTCATTACTGATAGAGCAACTTCCTGCAGAGTTTCCACATCACTTGATCTCCAGCGCAGCTTCCACACACCTAAATGCCAGTCTGGATCAAACTTTGTGTGACCAGCTATCATCATGGAATACCAGATCGTAACATGAAGACCTGAAAGCAAATAAAGAATTCTTGAGCTTGATAAAATTGATTTATACAATTATAAAAAAAAAACCAGCTGATTGATTGGTTAAATTTTATGATCTTTGATTTGAATGCAGAACTATAATGAGGGCAACAATGTGAGGTCAGATTAATCATTGTTTCTAGTCATTACATAAATTGCAAGACAATAATTCCGATATGCAGTCATACAACTTCCACTCAATTTTGACTGTTGTGTTATGTGAGAAACGTTATTTATTAATTAAATGTTTGTTACTGTTAACTTTCCAATCTTGTTCGTTAACTAATCAACTTAATTAGAAAATGTATCGATGACAAACTGTAAGTCAATGTCTGGACATAATGGCAACTTTATCTCCATGACCATGATGCTGGAAACAGTGATGGACCATGCTGACAACTGAGTTAGCTCCCTTGCCTATCCCAGTTTTCTGCCTCATCCACTAAATAGAAAAACTGCTTTCCTGTCAATTAAAATAACAAATAATAATACAAGCATAAACTAGTATTGAGCATGGATCATATTATTTGAACCCAGGAGGTTAGAGGCCTGTGATATGTAGTCCAAGACCTCAACCACTGAGCCGCTGCAGACCCCCCATAGCCGTGTAATTTATATTGAAAACTATCTAATTAATGCAATTATATATATGTATAACATTTTAATGAATAAAATGGAAAAAAAATATAATAATAACAAGAGGCCAAGAGGGCCTGTATCGCTCACCTGGATACCAAAGCAATCGTGGCAAAATATTCTTCAAATGAGATCAAGGGAATATGCCAGACCCCAAGGCCAATCCTTGTGGCATATCTGTACATGTATTAGATTCTTCATGCCCAGCAATTTTATGTATGGTTATGGGGTGGGGATCTCAACTGTTTCCAAGCTTTGACTCAGAAACTAGGTCCCTAGGGTTGTGGCCAGACCCCAGGATCAACAACCATTTCAAAGTTATGACCCAGGGGTTAAGTCTGCAAGGGTGGGGCAGACCCTTGAGTCAATTCATATATCATGACTGCATTCGTCTTTTTATGCCCAACAATTGTATATATAGTTTTGGGGTGGGGAACTAAACCATTTCGAAGTCATGACCCAGGGGTTAAGTCTCCAAGGGTGGGGTAGTCCCCAAGGCCATCCTGGAAGCATATGTGCAATCATCTCTTTATACTCAGCAATTGTATACCATGGTTATATGGTGGGGATCTCAATCATTTCCAAGTAATACACTTTTTTTGGCCCCACCCCTTAGCCCAGGGAATCAGCCCCACCATTTGTACAATTTTGAATCCCCCCCACCTAGGGATGCTTTCAGTCAGATATTGTTGATATCCATGGCATAGTTCTACAGAAGAAGTCGTTTGTAGCAATATAGCCAAATTGACCCCTTTTTGCCTGCCCCTCAGCCCCCTGGGGGGTCAGCCCAACTATTTGTACAATTTTGAATCCCCCCCACCTAGGGATGCTTTCAGTCAGATATTGTTGATATCCATGGCATAGTTCTACAGTAGAAGTCGATTATAGCAATATAGCCAAATTGCCCCCTTTTTGGCCACGCCCTCAGCCCCACCATTTGTATGAATCCCCACCACCTAGGGATGCTGCCATTCAAATATGGTTGATATCCACCTCTTAGTTCCAGAGAAGAAGACGCTTATAGCAATATTGCAAAATTGACCCCTTTTTGCCCCGCCTCTCAGCCACCTGGGGGGCCAGCTCCTCATTTGTACAATTTTGAATCCCCACCCCCTAGGGATGCTTCCATTCAAATATGGTTGATATCCACCTCTTAGTTCCAGAGAAGAAGACGCTTATAGCAATATTGCAAAATTGACCCCTTTTTGCCCCGCCTCTCAGCCACCTGGGGGGCCAGCTCCTCATTTGTACAATTTTGAATCCCCACCACCTAGGAATGCTTCCAATTAAATATAGTTGACATCGACCTCTTATTTCCAGAGAAGAAGTCGCATAAAGCAATATAGCCAAATTGACTCCTTTTGGCCCCATCCCTCAGCCCCCTGGGGGGTCAGCCCAACTATTTGTACAATTTTGAATCCCCCCCACCTAGGGATGCTTTCAGTCAGATATGGTTGATATCCATGGCATAGTTCTACAGAAGAAGTCGTTTGTAGCAATATAGCCAAATTGACCCCTTTTTGCCCCGCCCCTCAGCCCCCTAGGGGGTCAGCCCCATCATTTGTACAATTTTGAATCCCCACCACCTAGGGATGCTTTCAGTCAGATATGGTTGATATCCATGGCATAGTTCTACAGAAGAAGTCGTTTGTAGCAATATAGCCAAATTGACCCCTTTTTGCCCCGCCCCTCAGCCCCCTAGGGGGTCAGCCCCATCATTTGTACAATTTTGAATCCCCACCACCTAGGGATGCGTCCAGTCAAATTTAGTTGAATTCCAATCAGTGGTTAAGAAGAAATTGTTGACGGACGGATGGACAACGGACGCCACGGTATGGACCAGGTGAGCTAATAATAATACAAGCATAAACTAGTATTGAGTATGGATCATATTATTTATAATAATTCCATTTTGTGTGCCATGTGATATGTGTATATGTTATAATTATGGTAATTTTATTAATTTTCACTGTAAATGATTGAAAAATTGCCAGACACTTGTTGTACATTGTAGGTCCATGTTTTTTTCCAGGTTTTTCCAATGATGAAAACTGCTGTTTACTGTCAGCACACTCCTGGCTGTAAAAATCCCTCTGTTGTTTTGCTTGGTACACATAGTTGCTGTAGCCCTCCAAGATTTGTTTCTTCTCTTCGTCGTTTAGTGTTCCAGCTATTGACATAGCCAGAGGCCAAACAATCCTACAAGAAAGAAATATCGAAGTCTTTTCATAGTAAAGTGTCCATTTCTGAATGTGGCATATTCTTTGACCATAATCACTCTTATTTAGGAGTAAGTCCAAACCTGTTGGTTACTTGTGAGTGGTGTGGGGATGTTGTTGCAGAAATAAATGTCTCCTTGTTACAAAATGTGCTAAGTGTTCAAGGCTAAGCTTCCGGTCTATGTTTGAAAAAGAAACATTCATATTATTGTCCAATCCAAAGGCAGCTTGCCATCACAGGGAGAAATTGTTGTGACTTTTATATGTACAAATTGTATACACATGTAATGGCAAACACACAGAAAGGATTTTATTTGAAAGCTCCTACTATTTGCAAATACTTGACAGCTTGAAATTGTTTTATGTAAAGTTTGTATTGCCTGAACTTTTTTCAAGACCTTTGAAAAATCAAAATGAAATATACAGATCTGCCTTTCATGTCAGAGGCAATGGACATTTCTGCCCTGTATGTAAGTATAAGCATGTAATCAAGGAAGGACACAGCAAACAGAAATATGGGGATCAGAGCATTTGGATGTGATTCTTGTCATCTTTGGTATCATTTTGCATGTGGGCATGTCTAAAGTGCAGTGTTATTGGCAGAGTTTGAAAGTTTAAAGTACAGACTTTGCCATCGTCGGATACCCACGGTTGATTTCGCTTCGGTACTTCCCATTTGCCTGATCAATCATCCGGAGCCAGATCTCCGTGCTGGTCATATTAATATTCTATTATTATCAAATCAACTATTGACATGATTGACCTGAGACACCACACACAGTTGTATGACTGAAAAGTGTATCACACTATATTTAATTATTTGGGATCCTTAGGAATATTTGCAGTACATTGTAATTTGATCCTAGCAGTGTCAGTGTGCATTTAGACCCTGAGAATGTCACTTATTTTTCATGTTCCAAATTTTGCACTTTTAATTACAAATTATTAAATAAAAATACATATATATGTATCACTGGATACATGTTCTCTAAACACAATATTTTGATACTAATACAGAGATACACATATCAATATATTATTACAGCCCTTAAAATACCTGGTACTTTTGTTGAAGAAGAGTTGAAGCTTTGTGGATCTTAAGAGTAAAAGTAGGCTCACATATATGAAAACTGGATTGTATTTGTAGGGCAGGTGAACTAGTGACTGATAAAACACAACATGAGTTTGTAAACATTGAAAGTTTGGATGATCATGAATAAGCAATAGTGGGATATATTGAGGAACAGATTATGGTGCTGCTGATAACATTACTATTAACATGTACTTATACTTCGGTAGAGATGGATGCATATCACATACAAATTTGAGCAACCACTTTTACAATATCTTCCAATTGGTGCAAAAGAGTAAGAGGTACCTCATATTTGAGGACCCTGAAGGTTTTCATTCATCTGAATACATGTTCAATGTAAATTCTCTGATTTGCAATGGTCTTTGTAAGATTCACTTCAGCTCTTGACATTTGAGAAGCTCTCCTACGCCCCGAATATAGTGCCAACTCTTCCCAAATATAAACCCCCTATCTGCCATGACCGAATCATATCGTTCACTTATGTCAAGAAACCCAGAGTGTGTAGTGATATGTTTGTCACTTGTTTGGCCGCCCCAACACTGGGATACAAAATGCTGTAGAACGCAATGTTTTTCTAATCAGGAAATCTTGGACTAGTTACATTGACAAAAGACTATGGCAAGCCAACTTAACATTTATTCAAGGAGCAATGTTGATCCTGTATTTCATCGAATTATATAAGATATCTTATATATTATAATTATATAATATATAAGATATCTTACATACTATATGAGATATCTCATATATAAATTAAATGAGATATCTTATATAAGTATATAAGATATCATATATACTATATAAGATATCTCATTTAATTTTCTATATAAGATATCTCATATAATATATAAGATATCTCATATAATATATAAGATATCTCATATACAATGTATTATATAATTGAAATCTCGTTGCTATATAAGATATCTGATATAGAATGAGATTTCGTGGCATTAAAAACCAGAAACTAATTTCTCCCTCGTGAATCATTCGGAGCACATTCAGGATTGCATTGGGCGCAATGGCGGAGAGGGATGCCAGGTACGGATACGGAGAGGGATACGGAGCGTGATTTGATTTGTCATGATTTGTCCAGCCTCGTGTTTGACCACCTCGTGACAATACTTCTGAAATTTGAGGAAGACATCAGAGGAGGACGACAACCTGTCACAGATTTCATGCCGAAGAAATAACAACAGGTTTAATTTATTCTAGTTGGACTACTGTCTTGTATAACATATATTATTCCAACCACAGGAGCAAAAAATAATAATAACCAGGGACGTATAGCTCTATATACTGTCCCCGATAATAACAGCTAATAGACATGCATCTACAAAAAAATAACATGCTATTTTTTATATCGTCTAGTCACCAGTTTCCGCGCGTTATGTATTTCGGCGCAGCCATTTTATCAAGCTATATCTCGTTACTACGTGACCTGCTGGACATAACACAAGGATATTTTAGACGTTTGGCCATCGTCTGTAAACTGACACAAAAATTACCGGAAGTTTGTCCGGAAAACATAAGAAATAATCACCGATTAAAAAAACACGCATAAATATGCAGTTTTGCCTAATGCACTTTTTATCTTGCTCAAAATGAACGCATACCTGAAAAAACGGTGATATATTTCATTCATGAACCGGGTTTTTTGTAGTCTGACAAACGTACGAAAATGTCGTATGCAAATGAGGCCACATCTCCTCGCCCTTTCCGCCACAGGGCCGTTTTCGTTTAACGGTCAAACCACAGGGGCACGTTACAAATGTCTGAAATACACACATATGCTATGTTTATGTGTGTTGTGACCCATATCAGTATAGCATATGTGTGTATTTCAGACATTTGTAACGTGCCCCTGTGCATAAACGAACAGGCCCGAGTTAGTCGTACTAAGGGGGATAACTCTATGACTTCCGATTCTGTCGATTTCCGCCATGATGTTTAGTTTCACTAGCGGGCCGTTCATATGTTGTGAGGTTGGTATATAACCGTATCAAAATGTCCATTTTCAGGAAATGTCAATCATTTCCAAAGTATAGAATGAAATTAACTACACATTTTCTTCCATTTTGTTTTTGTTTTAGTGAAAGTTTATTCCGCTAAATTGTGTTTGGATACATTTTATTGGAACCATGCGAGACGGACCACGTCCATCAAAATGCCATGCGACATATAAAATGTCAAATTGACATTGAAAATAGAAATTGTCACTAAGAGTCTACCTACTAAATTAAACATTACGTAATAGAGTATGATGTGTGAAAATCCCGTTGACAAAAAACGAACCGTTACAAACCGACGATTTTTTGGGTAAGATGAAGCGTGATACTTAGAAGAGTTATTCCCCTTCAATCAATAGTCTGTTTCTTAAAACTGACATGGCTCAATAGATTACTTTATAAGCCAATTTGGCACTCGTCCTTCTGACATGGCTCAATGGATTGCTTTATAAGCATTCCCACTTGCTAATAATAAAGGTTTAAAACATTATTTGGTTACCTATATTTATTTTGAAATATTTGCTCTAATTCAATCTTATTTCATTTCAGTTGGACTTTTAGCCATCCTAAACATACCCAATCATTATAATACATGAACGAAGTACATCTGGAAAGTATGATTGTTCATTCTTAATTTTCAAACATCAATGCTATGATTGATAACATTTTTACATTATATGCCTTGGTTTGGCCTCCTTCGTCCTTATGTCTTATGGGTGTGATATAAACTGTTTACTTTAAAAAACTTCCTCGGAACAACCAAGACACCTACAATGATGATATTTGTTCAGTAGCATGGTTCAGGGCTACCAAATTTGTTCAAACTAATTAATGACCTTTGCCATATTCAACGTCAAAGGGGTGAAATTTGGTTAACATTTTTTAACAACTTTTTGTAAACAAAACAAAACATCTAGGGTGGTGATATATGGCATGTTGTATGCTGACATGAGGGGCTATAAAGTATATTAAATGTAACAAATTTGTTAGAGTTTCAAGGTGACAGGTGTGAAATATGTTCAAATCTTTTAACATGTTGTTTTGAATGACTTACAGGCATAGATTATACTTTCCGCTAAGGTTACAAGTGAGTGATCAATACCAGGTGAGCAATGCAGGCTCATTGGGCCTCTAACTTAATGCAGAGATTGCCAAAAATGACATGTGAAAGATTTCAAGACCAAAACTCTCCTTATGTATTTTATGACGCAAGTGATGCAATTCTATTTAATAACATTCACAATGTGACTGTATAATGTAGAAACAGAGTTTGACATTGAGTTGCATCTGCAACATTCATTAAGTGACCCTAATTTATGTGGTTGTGAATTGTGTGTAGTTCATGCCAGTCATGGTGGAACAGTCAACACCACTACCACAGATATATCAACAGCTAATTAGCAGCAATAACTCGGTTAAATATGAAGATTTGTCAACTACTACCCTATCCTCGGGAAGTAGTACACAATCTCCTTTGTCTACACCTTGTGTTAGTTTTGTTCCTCAAACTAAAACAGGAACAACTGCAGAAGATGCCATATCTATATCCGGTGTGACTTCTGAGGACACACAGGATGAACAATCGAATGAAGATGCACCATCTATCTCTAATTAAGATGCATATTTGTTAATGTTGTACAGTTATAATTAATTGTCAGTATACAAACTATAACCTGTCTAAACTGGCCCCTGTCCAATCATGATCCCTGTCTAAAGCGGTTGTGATTTGTGGTCCCGGCATATTCCCTACAAAATCATAATAGTTAAGCCGTGTATAAACCGGACCCTGTCCATTGGGGAAACCGGCTTTTGTTCAAAAAAGTTGGCATAGTAATCCCTGTAAAAACAACGTGTTCATTCCGGTCCTGACATTTCTCTCGTATCCAAACCACTGAATTGTTTTTTCTTTTCAAAAAATGACATGCTGACCCTGTATAAACTTGACTCCTGTGTGAACTGGACAAATTGTTTGGTCCTGGTGACATCCACTTTAGACAGGTTATACTGTAATATAATTCAAACTTGGTATTATGTTGGTTTAAAATTTATCAACCAATCAATCATTCTCAAATTCGTTTAACTGTTTCAGTTTTTCATTCCAAACTTGGTTTTATATTATAACTTCTTCATTCCCAACTTCAAATTTGGTTTGTACTGCTTCATCACCAACATTTACAGTTACATCCCTTTGTTTTTTCCATGTTGAAACTGTGATCAGCTGATGCGTTTTAAAATATTAAGGGAGTTATTCCATATATTTATAGGTAAGATTTTCACATTATTATGTCTAAAACATGTGTTTAGTTAATCTTGGTTTTTGATTATGTTACAGATACTAATATTCCAGATCTTACCATCATCCACTCTCCCTGGCTTTGCTAATAGAACCTGCATATGTAAATACTGCTTCATTTTAATTACGCTTGTAACTGGTAAGTCTCCTTAACATTATCATTACCTCCAACCCCATTTCATTTTAATATTGCACCATGAACAAGTATAAGTGGTCTTGATTCATTTTATGGTGGCCTATTCAAATCGCCCTGCGTCCGTGGTCTGTCGCCTGTCGTCCGTCCTTAGACAATTTTTGTTAGCGCTATTTCTCAGGAAGTAAAAGAGGGATCTTTGTAAAATTGTATATGCAGGTTCCCGTTGGTTCCTAGTTGTGCAACTTTTTAGAGTGATCGATAAACAACATGGCCCATATGCAGCCATCTTGGATTTTGACAGTGAACGTTTGTTAATACTATTTATCATCAATAACTTGAGGGATCTTTCTCAAATTTGTTGTGTATAGGTTCCCCCTGATCCCTCATTGTGCATGTTGTATTGTGAGACTCATCCTAAACACCAAAATGGCTAAAAGAAGAACTAAACAGATCCAACTGATTAGATAAAAATATTTGTTTTGGCTTTAGCAGTGACCGGGTATTTCATTTAATTTCCAAAGTTAGTAAAATTCATTTGTTGGGTTTTATTTAAGCTTCCACAGTGGTTACAGGTAAAGTATTTATACTGTTATATAACCAATTAACATGTCACACATAATTCATCCCTTGAAAAATTTCATCATTGATGAAATTGTGAAAAAGGCCAATGGAAACAGAAAGGTTATTCATGCAGACCTGTGCAAGGTGTCTGGACATGACCCAAATGTAATAAATCCCTGTAGCCTTTCAAATAAGGCCAAATTAGTTTCTTGCCAAATTGAAAAATAGCCGGAACACAACCAAGGTACAAAATTACTTGCAGAAATTATTTAAATTTCCACCAGTTAAAACAACCAACAAAGCTCAACAAATGGAAAAAGATGTGTTTTAAAAAAAAAAAAAAATCACTGCATAAAATGTTGATAAACTTGAATATTAAAATTGTAAGAGTGAACAACAGGATAAAACAAATCAACAGACCATCTTTGAACTTGAAAATTAACAGACAAAGAGAAATTATCACCAAATTGAAAAATAAGGAAAAGGTGTCCTATCAACACCACCAACAACAATCAGAAGTCATTGTCCAATAAAGCAACACAATGTGATTTATCCAACGAAATTATGAGGAGTGACATTATTGATTTGAAGCAGCAAATAAATCATCTGGAAAATGAATGTGAAGAGTTGAAGGAGGAAAATGTTGACAACAGTAACTCTGATATGGATATACAAGCGGCCATCAATTTCCGAGATTCAACAAGAGGGAGACCATACACAGAGAAATTAAGATCACTTATGTATGAGTTTAAAAGTCGCAATGTTCCATTGAAACCTTTTGTTTAACAGTCAGCCAGGTGTAACCTATTGTTTGACAGTCAGCCAGGTGTAACAAATACCCCGTTAGGGCGCGGCGTTATTTACATAACGCGTTCAGGTGTGACAGAAGGTCCCCGGGGGCATTTATCATGAGTCATTACCGCATTTTACCTGTATTTTTTTTGTGACTGTGGCCAAAATAAAGTGATATTAAGAGAAATCGACATAAAATCAGGTGATAATAAAAGAATTGAATTGCATAGATTATATAGCAGGAAAAACGGTGCATCAGAAAAACACGATAATAACCGAAAAGTGACATTAAGCGACGTGGTATTAAGTGAAATGTACTGTATCACCATTAATAAGATCAGTGTTGTCATTAGTTAACAAATAGGAGAGTTACCTTGTCCATGTGTTGCATCCACAATGTCATCGGAAATGGATTATGTTGTTAAAAAACAATTGAATGAGGAACTTACCAGTGAACAAAATCTGACCATGCATCGCGATGCTACAACAAAGAAAGGTCGCCACTTCTATGGTATGGAGCTTGTTACAACACAGGATACAACATTAACGGCAGGTGTGAGGGAAATATCCGACGGCAAAGCACGAACTTATTTAAATTGTACCAACCAAGTTTTATCTGACATTGATGTGAATAATAATATTTCTTCACACACTATTTTAAGCAATGTTTCTAATTTCATGACGGACTGAAGTGTTACAGAAAACAAAGTTAACTGTATGATAAATGATTCGGTCAACCCATCATCGCCAATCAATTCTTTTAAATGTGCAGTACTACACCCTTTACTTCAATTTTCAGAAGTCTGTGAGAAAGAGTTGAAAGATATTGAAAAGACATTTGAAATAAACATTTCAAATGTGGGTAAAGTGGAATCGTTCACTCATAATTTAATTAGCTCCCTATCAAAATTGTTTTTTAAAGATGGATCTGGAGATCCGCTATTGCCATCCTTATACTTAAAGACAGAGGGATACAAATCCCTATTGTAAACTTTCGCAGAAATCGGTTCAATGTTTTTTTTTTACAATGCAGCAGGAACATATTTTTTAGCAAAACCCCTTATAGATTATTTACAAAACTCCAAATCAACTGTGAACTTTACCCAAAATTTAATTTTTGAGGGATTGAAAAATGTATTTTTTTTAGACATTTGCCGTTGCCTTGGACTCGTCTCCAAGGCCATTACTGAACCCTACTGGAGACTAGCAGGAGGAGCTGTTGAATCAGCTTTAGACATGGGACCAGTGTATGTGCGCCTTTTAGAAGTGTTGTCATCCGTAATGGAAAACCCCAATCTTTTACTAACTAACAACATCAGATTGTTTCCAGGTCCTTGCTCTCCTGTGGATGATGTACACACATATTTGCTATCAGAAAATGTATCCGAATTTTGCCCTATGATCTTGCAAAAATTATGCCATGTTTTGAAATTGAAAGGGGATCATTTAGTTAAGGATTTTTTACCTGGAGGTTCCTTAAACTGCCCATCAGCAATATTAGTAGAGAAAAGCAAATCGTGCCCTCCACACAACATCACCGTTGAGCGACTTATGGCAAAGGTGGACAGATCGATGAAATGTTCTCCCAATATTACTATCAATACCCTTGAAAGCAATATCTGTTATACAGGAAATAAAACAGGAGAATGGCTAAAGGCACAGCCAGAACCGGAGCAGAAACACATTATTTCGAATGCAAGACTGGGGAAAAAACATTATATAAAGACAGTGAAAGAAAGAAAGGAGATGCTAAGGAAATCCCAGCTGGAAATTTTTAGGAACAGAACAGAGACAGTACAAAAGAAAAAGGAAAAACAAAGAAAAGCAAAAGATGAGATTGTGCAAAATTTAGATGCTTTTGGACTGTGGGACAGCATACAAAAAATTGATTTAGGACTTCAAAATTACACCACCAAAACAGACAAAAAAAATTGTTTTAAAAAAACAAATCAGTATGTTCAGATCAATATATGACTATGACTCCAATAACAGGAACCTATTTTTATTTAGCTACAAGGGAAAACAACATGGGGTGGAGGAACTGAAAAGCAATGTTTTGAAAATTGGAAATTTGAAAAAAAGTGCAAAAGAAACCAATACAGTTGATTTGGACATAGTTGGAAAACATATTCAACACATATGGACAGACGAAGAAGGAAAAGATGCAACATGGCATGGAGAAATCCTGAGTTATGACAACGGTGTTTTCAAGGTTAAATGTTTATAACATCAGTCACCTTGTCAACTCACTTCACCTTCCATATTTCTAATTTCTAACAATTTTAATTACCACAGTGCAGATGGAAGCCATGAAAGTTATGCATTAATGTTACCACAACCAAAGAGCATGTTATCCATCATTGTAAAAACTGCATGTATCCAAAGGGTCTGCATCGGTTTCCGGGTAATAATGTGTCACTTGTAATCTTAATACAACTACAGACAAAATCCCAGTGTTTCATTCCAAATAACCTATTCAAACATTTACACATATGACCCCTGTGACCCCTGTGACGAAAAATCGAATAAGGACATTAACTTCATCCCTGAATATGAGTCAACGACATTCATTTCAGCAAACTTGGCAATCTAATTAAAATTATATCTTCACATCGCTCCGGTTTACTGATATGTCGCGTTGAAGATCTAACAACATCCCGTAGAGGGTCATGTTCAGGTGACCTTTGCATTAACCAATCAGATGAGAGCTTACGCATTTCTGTAAGTGATGATGTAATGATTTCGGAACACACTTTCTATGATAAAAGACCGAGAGGTGTCAAATGAGCATCGAAAATGGCGGCGCCCATGACACCACGCCGTGTCTATCTACAAGACAACGTTTGTACAATTTGTGGATTTTGCTTTGAAATAAGAGAGACTTCCTCTTCTGGTGATGTTGTCGTTAAAAGGTTTAACAACCTGAAACTAAAATTAACCAATGACAGGCTTCGCAATATTCAAACTATCACTGGACCAGACGGAAAAGTGGATTTTGGGCTACGAGGTGTCTGCATAAAATGCTACATGTCCTGCTTTCTGATTTGTTGAAAGAAAGAGTTATGTCGCGTTTTGATTGGCTTGTTATAAATACGATAATACATTCATGTTGACCTCTGACGTGACCCTCTATGGGATGTTGTTAGATCTTTAACGCGACATATCAGTAAACAGGAGCAATGTGAAGATATAATTTTAATTAGATTGCAAACTTGGTAGCCCTTCTTTCCAGCATGTAACTGGCCAAATAGGATCACCCTCATCCTCGATATCCAGGGGTTACGCCCACTTTCGCTCTCTACACCCCTGCAATATGTCATAGCGAAATTGAAGGCACGAAGATAGCTGTTTGATTGGTGACCGGTAAAAAAAAAATGACCTCAAAGTCATTCATTTAAACAAATTTTGTAGCCCTTCATCCCACCACGTTACTGGCTAAGTATCATCACCTTAGGCCTGTTGGTTATTCCGAAAAAGTTATTTAGATATTTAAACATATTTCACCAAATATCATCCTGGTCATTTTATTTATTCAGAATAAAAGTTTAAATGTTTTAAACGCAATTGACAACTGTGACCTTGAATATGGGCGAAGGTCATTCATTTGATCAAACTTGGTACCACTCCATCCCAGCATGGTAATTGCCAAATATCATCGCCCTGATCCTATTGGTTATTAAGAAAAAATTGTAACATATTTGACTAGTGTGACCTTGATAATGGGTGAAGGTCATCAATTTAAACAATCTTGGTCACTCTTAATCCCAGTATGCTTGTGGATAAATATCATCAGTGTAGGCTATACAAAACATGTTGTTTAAAGTAGAATGTTCATGCCGGATGACGGACGCTGCACCACGTCATAAGCTCAGCCCCACTGGCCACGTGAGCTAAAAACAACTAACAAATATCTTAACCCCCTCATTCACCATGCAGGCATTATTTTACCTTCACCTATGGTTACAGATTAAATTACATACAGTTTGTTTTGGAAGATGAGTTTATAAAAATTAGTACCAAATATATATAGCTTCATTATATACTACAGAGAAAATTTTCTTCATAGTATGCAAATATATGTAGTTTAGTATGATTTGTTTGAACATTATTAAAACTAGATGTTTGGAATGTGTATTGAATTTCAAATTTGATAAGAACAGATGTTAATACTACATTTGTGCTTTACAGGTAAATTATTGGGCGCAAACTGACAAAGCAGATGAGGAAACCTATCTGTTAACACCAGGGGAAATACAGGCTGACATCAAAGATGGATGTTTAACATTGGAAGGTAAAAAAATCACTAGTTTATGTCAGTAATAATAACAACACAGCGTTTGAGTTCTAGATTGTATTAAGGAGCTACTAATGGAACATGATACTGATATGTTGGATATTGATATAGTTATACATGTTATTACTTATACACACATTTATACATACTACACATAATATGCATACAATACAAAACTTGGCTTGAAGACCGGCTCAGCTGTTCTGACTTGGATGTGATTTTTGTAGATTTGAATTACCACATTTTAAAAGATGTTACAGATTTACGTCTCTCAAATTTGGGACCTCTACCCTGAGGTAAATAATCCACCAGTACCCGTAAGTGTACCGCTACAACGATGGTTGAAGAAATCTTCAAGACTACTGTGTTTGAATCATCCCACAGATTTGGAACATCTACGCCGGGGTAAAAGTTCGCCAGTATACCAAGGATGTATATATACCGTACAACGATTGTTGCAGAAATCTGTGTGATCAGGGTTCGAAACTCTTGACCTTTAATGAATTACTTGGGGAATAATGATGTTTATAGCATCATAAATCCAAA